ATAATTTGTTCTTTTATAAAAATATCTTATTTTTATTTTATGTGTATGAGTGTATTGCCTGCAAGTGTGTAAGTGCACCTGTGCTGTGTAGCACTGATGGAGGTCAGAAGAAGTCATCAGATTCCCTAGAACTGGGGCTACAGATGATTGTTAACCACCATGTAGGTGATGGGAATAGAACCCGAGTCCTCTGCAAGAGCAATCAGTACTCTTAACCACTGAACCATCTCTCCAGCCCCAGTAATTTTTTTCTTTAAAAAGGCTCTTATTTATTTCTTAACTTTATATGTTCGATTTCATTCTGCAGAGGTTTACCTTTGGGATGACTACAACTGATCAAAATATAAACAGTCGGGGCTAGAGAGGTGGATCAACAGTTACGAGCACTGGGTGTTGTTGCAGAAGACCCAGGTTCAAATCCCAACACCAACATGGGGCTAACAACTGTCCGTAACTCCAATTCCAGGGGATCTGACATCCTTTTCTGTCCTCTGTTGGCACTGCATGACACAGATGCACCTACATACATGCAGGCAGTACACACGTACACATAAAATATAAAAATAATAAAATATTTTAAAATGTCTAAACAGCCTCTGTGACTAGCGTATACAAAGTAGAAAGGCAAACGTAGAAGCCAGTGCAGATGGTTATCACCCCCAGACTGAACTTTCCTAGCCTCTGATTAGACCTCTTTTCCATTCTTGCTGCCTATCAGGCACGTAGTGTTTGTGGAATTCATGAATTCATGGAAGCCGCTTTCTAATTATTCGTCTAGTATTTTCTCTTTCCAATGGTTTGCGAATCACCCCCTCTTCTTGAGAAATGCCGGTCTCATAGAACGGCAGAGCTGGAAGATACTCTAAAGACTTCCAGTCCTTGAAAACCAAGGAACTTGGCATTGTGGGCATAATTTCTGCCCTCTACGCCTCTCTACTAGTGTATCAAGATAAAACCTTCATTGACGCAGCATCACCATTCACTACTGCCCCGTGCTTGGCTGTTTTTCAGTGAAACCCTTTGAAAGAGGAGTCACATAAACCTTGCTTCCTCTCCCTTCCTTACCCTGGTGCCACTCAGGTCTGGCTTGTCACAGTGCATACTTCACACAGCCCTCCCTCTGAGCATTATTTGCTGAGCCCTAATGATATCACAATGGGCATCTGCTCTTCGTGCTCCTGCCTCAAAGGACAGGAAGCACTTTGCCTGTGGAGGGCAGAGGAACAAACTTCCAGGTAAGTTATTAGGAGAGATTCCTGTGTTGACGCATAGACGTGAGCCAATCAAGAGGATTGCTTTTTATTCCTGAAAGGATTGTGAACGAAACCTTCAGTACATTCTTTTCTACCCTCAGTGTTTGTTATATCCGAATGTTTGAGTCGATTCAAAATGTATATGTTGGCATATAGGATATGGTGCAGTATTATTGGGAAGGGGGACTTTGGGGGAAAAGATCTGACCCTCATGAGTAGAATTAGTTCTCTGTGAATGAGGCTCAGTTGTTCTTTCCGCTGTGTTGAGGATAAGAGAAGCCACCATTGACAAAGACTGGCCATCACTAGGCATCAAATCTGTCAGTGACTTGATCTTAGATTTTCCGGCCATCGGAACTGTGTGCAGTCGATTTCTGTTGTTCTAAGTGATTCCCTCATATGTATTTTGAAGTTACAGCCTGATGGGAGGAGCCATTATCACTATCTCCATCATCATCGATATAAAAGTTCTGTCAATGAGGCTAGGAAAATAAAGCCCTTATGGTTATGCTGAACTAACTGACTTATTTGCACATTTCACTAAGAATTGTTCTCTTTTAGGTCAAGTTCACTAAATATAAATAGAATGGCACTTAATGGAAGATTGAAGTAATGATTGAAATGTTCAGAACTGGAGACATTTTTATGCCCGAGTTCATGCTAGACCAGGAGAAAATGTCAGAAGTATGCCTGACATGTACCGAGAGCCCCATGGAACTGGTGTATAGGAAAATGTGAAGGAGATGTGGGTTAGTGAAGGTCACAGGCAGGCTGAGGAGAGGCCGGGGACACATGGTGTATATGCCTACAGAGGTACCAAGGAGAACAGGGGTATGAGTCAGACCAGATCTCTTAACGTCCAGGAGGTGGCACTAGGGTCTAAATATGGAAGAAATCATCAATAATCCAGTTTTACTTTGAAATCAATTTGATATGATGGCTCTCAAAGAGAAGACACTGATTTTTGCATACAAGAATAGGTAGACAGGAAAGCCCTCTTCAAGCCTTCCACTGGGATTAAGAAACATCGGTGTCAGCACTGTGGTCTGGGGGATGGTATGGTGACCGCTATGTAGTTAAAACTGAAGGTGTGTTGACTTTGGTATAATTTCAGAGCTGCCTTTTAAATTGCCGAAATGATTTCCAAGTGCTGACTTCCATACTTTCATAATCTTTAGGCTGAGGACGGAAAATGGGTTTACAGTGTGTTGGAAAGGTGAAACAACACCAAAAATCACTATATCCAAGGAGACTGTTGTGGTTAGTCACCATGCTGCTGACCATTTCTAGGGTGGTGTTGGGAAAGGAGAGAGAGCGACCTTGTAGTATAGGAACAGGCTTATGAATGGAAAGGTTTTCCTCAGGGCAAAGGAGTACTATATCCTGTTTTCCAGTCGGCCTCATTCCATAGCAACTATCAGTAACAAAACCTTACATTCTAGAATGTACCTCTCTTTGGATGATGCATCATTTGTCAAGCTTACTTAGGGAGCAGCAGCCTTTAGATGCTCAATCTAGCATGTTCCACCCTGCCAAGCCCTTTCCCTCTGATGGAAAGGACACCTGAGAACGTTTCATGTATGACTCCAGCTCATACATACTCTCTACTTCCCAGATCTGTGAGTCTCGCACGTGTACATGGGTCACATACACAAAAGGAGTCCTGTTATATTCCTGTAGCTATGCATTTCATTCTGCAAATATTCCTTTTTCAGCAAGAAAAACTGTAAAATAAGTGCTGAAAATGGATCTAGGCTCATTCACTTCTGTACAGCCTACCTCACCTTTTTTTAAATTGAGGATTTCACATGTGAGTACACTGTAGTTCCCGACCCCTCCCACGTGTCCTCAATCACCTCCTCTAAAATTCATGACCTTTTCTTCTATATTTGTTATATATACACAGATGCATGTCTATACGAATATATATACACATACATATGAATCTACATATATACACACATACATATATACATTTATCTGTATACACACACAACTAATGAATCCAATTAGTGCTGCCCTTAGTTGCATGTGTTTATGGCTGGACACTTAGGACCTGACCTGCCTTACCTTGATTGAAGAAAGTACCCATGTCACAGGATTGTATATGAGCTAAGGCTCCATTTTTAAGATTCTGGAATACATAGTTCAAGAAAATTCTGTTAAAAGGGAGATAGGTGAAGGTCAATATTATAAACAATACAAAACTGTTGTTATAATAATATTTAATAAATGAAATCTAATGGGTAATTATGTTTACAGTTCTAGTTCTTTTTTAAAACCATCTTTCTCTCACAACAAAAATGGTCAGTTTCCTTACTAACTCTTAAATTATAGATCCAGAGAGGCACAAGTTGTCTTCATTTAGTTTTAATTTCAATGTTTTCTGAGACCGTTTGCCTTTGATTAAGGAAACTAGTATTTTGTATGATTTTAAGGACTGAGAAGTTTCCTTAACCTCTTCACAGTTTAGTCTGAAACTCTTAGCCACAGTCTCAAACCCAAACCCTTTACAGAGCAGGTATTGTCAGCCACGGACTCTCCTTATGTCCTCCCCTGAGAAGTAGAGGGAAGTGGCGATACTACCACCACCAGTGAACAGAAGAGGTGCCTGTGCTTTAGGAAGGTGCTTTCGAGCAGTCACTCAACTGAGTGGCAATGACCAGGAAGAATGGGAGTTATAAAAGGTCAAGTCATTTGCAAAAGATCTCTCCAATCACAAGTGCCAAAGAAAAGACCTTGAACCTAGGCTTATCCAACTCCACAGCTCTTTAAACTACTTGGCAAACTTCCTTTTGTCTCTATCCCCTAAAGACCACAGCCTACTTCAAAGACTGATTTCTTTGATGTCTGTATTTCAAGCAACATCTACCCTTGACACCTCAACTGGAACACTGCTTATCTGTGTAGGGTAACCACTGGTCGATGACCAGAGAGGTCTGGGTCTCTGAATTTCTTTCCTAGTTCATACCCTCTCCTCCCTCAGCCTGTTTCTCTTTCCTTCTTTCTGCCTTAGTTCCTTCAAAATGCTATAACGAACTACGACAAACTGAGCAGCGTGTGTGTGTGTGTGTGTGTGTGTGTGTGTGTGTGTGTGTACAGAGAGAGAGCAAGAGTGAGACCGAGAGAGCAAGAGAGCGTGAGAGAGAAACCTTCATTTTTCATAGTTATAAAGTTTGAAAATTCCATCATCATGGTTTGGACAGATTCAACATCTGAGCGAAACACAACTTAATAGTTTGAAGATGGTGACTTCTTTCTGATACATCAGAAGGAACAAATCAACACCTTTGGCTTATTTTAGAACATCTTGACATAAGATTTTTGTTTTGTTTTGTTTTTGTTTTTGTTTTTGTTTTGTTGTTTGTTTGTGTTTTTTTGAGACATGTTCTCAACCATGTAGCCTAGACTTGTTTGGAGCTAACTATGTAGCCCAGCTTGGCTTCAAACTCACAATCCTGCCCGTTCCTCCTAAGTACTTGTATTACAGTTATGTGCCACCATGCTTGGTTAAGTGCTTCTTTGTCTGTGACAGGAAGCAGCTTGGGTCTGTGATCATGTGTCCACAGACATAGCATTTCCAGTCATACCCTGGAGTGTTTGTGTGTTCAGACTAAGAATGTAAGCTTTCTTTCTAGCTGAATCGTTCCCACTGTGCCAGAAGACTGCTGCCACTGATGCGCGCTGAAGAAGTCACTCTTAAACACAGCCACTACCTCCTTCCACCTCAAGAGCTCATTTTTCACCATGAGGCTACTGTTCCTTCTTGTTGTCCTTCTTATATGTCTGACTCAGACAACATCAGGTGAGCTGTGAACCCCACCTGGAAGGATCATGTGGTAGATGAGCTTGGAGCCTGGGGTGGACCAAACAGGCTCACAATTCAGTCACGTGCTGAAGTGTGTAGGAATAGAACAGTATTGTGGCACAGCCACAAGACATACGATGTGTGTGATGGTGGTTAAAGGTGATTGTCAACGTCAAAGAATCAAGAATCTGGCTATGTCTGCTGGGGATTATCTTTATTATGTTTGTTGTTATGGGAAGACCTGTCCTCTGTGGGTGCCACCATTCCCTGGGAAGTGGATCCCGGACTGTGTAGGAAAGTGGGCTGAGCACTAGTATGCCTGTACCCACCCCTCTCTGCTTCCCAGTGGCAAGATGTGGCCCACCATGAAGGTCCTGTTACTGTGACTTCCCCGCCATGATGGACTGTATTTTGAACTTTGAACTGAAATGAGTCTTTTTCCTTTAAGCTGCTTTTCTGAGCATTTTCTTTTTTATCATTTCAACAAGTAACTAAGGCAGCGTATAAAAGTTGATAAATAAGAAAAGAGAAGCTTAATGAAATCTAAAGGACTTCCCGAGGTTATCCTTGAGTGATGGTGTGAAAGGTCACACACATAACCAATAACTGTGCTAAAGAATGTTTCTGTGGGATTTTCAGGTTATGAACCATTTCCAGATGAATGAAATTATCAGCACCAACACCCGTAGTGATAATGGCAAATGATCTTGAGCACTTTCTCTTCACCAAGCATCACTTTGTTTTTTTAAAAAAAACTATTTATTTTTACTGTTTTTTTAAAAATTATGTGTATATATGTGTATCTGCGTGTGGGTATATACACATGAATGTAGATGGCCATGGAAGCAGGCATTTGTGAGCCATTTGACACGGGTGCTGGGGACTGAACTCAAGTCTTCTGCAAAAGCAGTATGTAGTCTTAACTGCTAAGCCATCTCTCCAGCCCCCAAATACCCTTTCTGTTTATTTGTTTAGCTTTTGAGACAAAGTCTGACTGTGTTGTCCTGGCTGGCCTGAAACTTACTATGTGTCTACACTGGCCTCAAACTCACAGAGATCTACCTGCCTCTGCCTCCTGAGTGCTGGGATTAAAAGCTGTGTGCCACCACACATGGATATAACACAGACTTCTAATGCATCATATTAAGTTTACTCTTTATAACAATAGTTGCAGGATGGGTGCTTTACAGATAAGATGTAGTAATGACATAAGCTGCTCCAAGCTACATAGATTGTACATAATGAATTTCACACTTAAAAATAGCTCAGTTCCGAAGATAATACTATTAAATGGCCAAATCCTTAAAATGAATTGATTTATTAGGCTATAGATAAACAAGGACTGGTTCTTGGGGTAAATATGACATACGCAGTATTTATGGCATGCTTATTCTAAATGATTTATCCGAAAGATTTATCTGAAAGACTTATCAGATGTAACGGGACGGTCTCATATTTTACCTTATGATCTTGTATAGAGCAAACAACATCCCATTTTGGTATCTTAAGAGAACAAAGAGCTTAATTCTTGATAAGGTGAATATCTCTTCAGGTTGTGGAGCTCTCTGCTCACTACAACTGATCAGCTCAAGCTGAAAGAACAGCCTCCACCATGGATGTTTCTAGCCACTGCAAAGGGGAGAGCTGCCAAGGAGTCTTGCACTGGCAACTAACCAGCCCTAAAAAAACATCACTTCTATTCAAAATTTCCTAGCCCAGTCAGTCTCAAGGGTGTATGTAATGAATCAAACAAGACAGCTTATTCTCTAA